GTGTCTCATGCCAGAAAGTAGGTTGGTGAAGAGTGTGTGTGAGAGGTGTGTGGGGTCCTCCACAATGCTGGTAGGTTTGTGGATGCAGTAGGTTCAATAAGTGTCTGTGATGGAGGAAAGAGAGGCTCCAATGATCTTTTCTCACTTTGTGCTGTATGGTCTTGCGATCTAACACGGTGCTGTTTCCATACCAGACAGTGATGCAGCTGCTCAGGATGCTCTCGACACTCCCTCTGTAGTAGGTGGTGAGAATGGCTGGTGGGAGATGGGCTTTTCTCATCTTTCACATGTGAGACCTGGGCCAATGCAATCGGTCCAGTGTAATTCAATTCAAAGTGACAAAGTAGTCATTGAGACTTTTGTGTTTTTATATTTGTGTAGAACATTTTCTAATCCATTTTCAGATCTCTCAGCTGCTCCCTTTATGGGTCTGTGGATCATCTGCCTCCATCTCATCCTACCACTACCCTGCTCATCTGTCACACCAACCCTCTCCATATCCTCCTTTACTACATCCACAAATCACCGTTCATTTTATTATTATTGTGGATTTTGTTTTAAGCCCCTTTTACCTCAGATTTATTTTGGTTGAAAACAAATTGTATGTTTGTGGTATACTTGTTTGAACACAATCCTTTATTTAATCCGTTTCCCCATTTAATCAGAACATGTGAACACTGTCACATGTAGCTAGATGTGAACCATTATTTATCAGTGAGGGCCATTCTTTTTCTACTTTCACTGCTATAACGTTATTCTGACAGCAAATAGAAAAACGAGATTCTTCAGTGTTCTTTAAACTGTCTCTGCTTGACTGCTACAGTCGCCTACTGTTTGTAAGCTTTAAAAGTTTTTTTTATTATTATTTATTGGATTTAATTATTTCACACGTATTTCACGTTATATTTCACACGTTATATTCACACGTGTGAAATAATGCAGCAGCAAACTTTTAATTTTTAAAGAAAACTTAGAGGTTTTCGTCCACTTTACAGATGAACAAGGGAAACTGCAACCAATTACAGAACGGGTTACTTGGACCCTCGCCGAAGGGCAGTACAACTAACCAATGGCATCTGAGATTTGAAATCTAGGCTTTGACCAATCAATCGCTTGCGAGCTGCAAGGAAACGGAAGTAACGACCGGAAGTTTACGTTAACAGAGAAAGCTAAACGCAGCTAACGCTTCAGCTTCTATTTTAACAAACAAAAAAGGACAATGGTTTGTGAAAAGTGTAGGTATCTCGCCATTCTTCTATCATTTAATTTATTTTAGATTTTCAATTCTAATGTATTTTTTCCCGTTAAGAGAAGCTCGATGATCCTTAGAGAGCTGGCTAACGCTATGTGATGCTAACTGTTGTTATTACTGTCCTCACTGTTGTTTTGGTTGAGGAAAACATACCTTCACCTTCTAGGCTTATTTCCTTTAAATCCACTGCGCTGTTTTTGTTACATATGCTGGGTTGCTTTTTATCTCCAGGTGAGAAGAAGCTCGGTAAGGTCATCACTCCTGACACCTGGAAGGATGGAGCCCGGAATACAACAGGTGAACAGAGTAAAATCTGGATTTGTTTCAGTTCAATGGCATAATGTCACCAGTGTGCAAGGGCTGCTGGAAGTTTTGGAAGATTAAATAGAAAGATCACAATTAAAAACAACAGAAAATATATAGATAATACAACGGGGAGGGGGAAATTAAGCTTTTAAACCAAAATCTGAAATAGCGTTCAGTTAGTGTGTGATTTCTCTTGGTTTTTTGTACATTCTTAGGAGCATTGACTTAAAATATTAAAAATAAATCATTATATACTAAGTGACTCAAGGAAAGTAGTTTAAATACGTTCATGAACATGAATTTGGGGCTTTTAATGATTTCTCTAACCTTATTGCTTTTATAGGGTGGAATAATTGTACAGCACAAATCTTGAATGACTTAAAACAAACAAAAGAAAAGACAACAATAAGGTTTGTGGCGTAATTCTGGCTGCTTATTTGATTCCATCCACTTTATGCAATCTACCAGTATCACTGGCAGCATGATGCTACCACCAGTCCTTTGCAGTATAAAAGTCACTTCACCGT